CTGAAGCTGAATTTATTGCCGATGAAGGCAATCGAGGTAAAGGATGAGATTTCTCTGAACTCGTCACAGATGAGGTGTATAAGATCAGCTACCTGACCTGTAATTCGCGGTCAGACATCATCGCCACTGAGGGTCAATTTTTGCTAAGCAAAAATCAGTCAGGAAACTATATGTCGTGGGTTAAAACGAAAATATTCTTCGGACCGGCCAGTGGTCAAGGTACCATGGAACGTTTACTGATTTCGATCCCAGGAGACGCACAGTTATGACAAAGAACATAGAAAAGATTTTGCAAGAAGTGTCACTGATTCAGACCATATACAGTATAATGAATGTTGGCGTGGGCTTGGAATGGCAAAAGCTGGATGACCCTACAGAAACGACTTGCAAAGTCAAAGCAATTGGTAGAAGAAGGTGTATAGGAGGTCGGTCTCTAACTCCGGAGGAACAGAATTCGATTTCCGCGAGGAATGGTTTTTGCTTTAACCGAATTCTTCATCTTCGATATGAATTCCAAATCTTTGACAAATTCTCTTGAGCAAAAAATTTACCAAGTGTTGCTTCAGAGTGCAGCTACTCGCGTCGGTACAGCGTCAGACTCAGTACCGAGAGATACAAGGTTTGAGCTCCAGTTTGGGTAACTCGTCCTTCTGCCTTTTCGAGGTTCATAAACGAGTGCATGCCAGTCTGATAAACCAGTGGAAAGGACACAGGAGAGTACAGACGAAACTTCTCACAGACCTGCCATCGATTTTCCCTTAAGAAAACACTCCCGGCTGGTAATATGAAAATGGAGGAGATCATCGCGCCCATGAAAACAATGATGTTTGTAACTCCCCATCATGTTAGACATTTGAGCGATTGCAGACTTAACATTTTTGTAGCAATCAATGTCAATTTTACAAAATGACCAGGGAAGGGAAGAAGTACAGTACTTCAAGGGCCAAAACTATACTCTTTATCCATAAGTAGTATGGAAAGAGTAAAAACTCGGCGTTTGTGCCATCGCCATTTGAGGCTAAGATCTCCAGGAACAAAGTTGTCTAGGTTTGATATGCCTTTGCCAGTAAAAATGATGTCTCTCTGTCTGATCCATGCAAAGCTAGTCGCTCGGCC